CACACACACACACACACACACAGCGCCACTGTGTTATAACCAGGAACATACAGCGCCACTGTGTTTTAACCAGGAAACACACACACACACAGGAACACAGCACAACCATGTTATAAGCAGGAAACACACACACACAGGAACACAGCACAACCATGTTATAACCAGGAAACACACACACACAGGAACACAGCACAACCGTGTTATAACCAGGAAACACACACACACACAGGAACACAGCACAACCGTGTTATAACCAGGAAACACACACAAACACAGGAACACAGCACAACCGTGTTATAACCAGGAAACACACACAAACACAGGAACACAGCACAACCGTGTTATAACCAGGACACACACACACACAGCGCCACTTTGTTATAACCAGGAACACACAGCACAACTGTGTTTTAACTAGGAAACACACACACACACAGGAACACAGCACAACCATGTTATAACCAGGACACACACACACACACACAGGAACACAGCACAACCATGTTATAACCAGGACACACACATACACAGGAACACACAGTGCCACTCTGTTGTAACCAGAACACACACATGAACCCGCAGGCCCCGACAGAGCCTGGCTGCGCCCCAAGTGCAGATCTGCCCTGAGGGTCCTCCTCCTCTGAACCCCTCTCCTCGGATCCCCATTCTTGACGCTCTTCGTTGTCTGTCCTCTGCTCTTCCTCTTCCGCTGAGAGAGCAACTCCAGCCCGTGCTAAAGGCTGCAGCTCGGACACCTCAGCCAGCAGGCTGGACTGGTCCTCCTCCAACCCAGGGGGACCAGAGGACTCCATCCTGGGCCCCTCATGCCCTGGACTCCAGACCCCTGATCCAGCCGTTCTGGATACGACTCGGCCCCACAGGAGGAGGTGTCCCCTGGACAAGGACAAGGGAAATGTTTCTCAGGGGACCTGCAGGTACACACAGCGGTCATCATGGTGCACACTTCCACAGAGCACCCAGACCCCCCCCCAGTGCTGTGGGGGCAATCTGGCCACCCCCAGGTTACACCCCAACCCCTGCTGTTCAACATCTACCTTGCCAGGACATTGGGGCGCAGAGATGATTGCAAAACTCAAGACGCAGGTACAGCCTGCTGCACTCATGATGTTCACCACGTAGTCTGCTTGTTTATTTGCTCATTTATCGTTTGTGTGGGGCCTGTGTATATTTTTTCATGGTGTGCGATTTTGATCTCTGACACGATGGCAGAGGTTGGTCACATGCCCGACTGCCAGGCCTGGTCCGTGTGGGACCTCCTGCAGGCCACTGCTGCCAGCACTGGTCTGGTCCAGGAGTGCAGGGCGTCTCCTGCACACAGCCGGGGGGGATGAGCAAGGCTTGGGGGAGGGACACACCAGGGTGGAGCAGGAGGTATCGGTGCATATTGGGGAGGAGAAGGGGCAGGGGTGGGGCAGATTGAGGTGGAGCAGGGGTG